ATTCACATAATTATTTAAAAATATTTCAAAAACGGTAAGGTTTATGTGTAATAAACCTTAATCAAATTTACCTGTATTTTAATCGTAGAAACAAAAAATGTAATAATATACAGGGTGTTTCATTTAAAAAATACAACTTTGATTTTTTTTATTTATTTGGGACACTCTGTATCTTGTAAAAATATTTCTAAATTGTAGCTCTAATAGTCCTTCAACGAACCCAAAATTTACAATTTGTAAAAATCTAATCATTTAGCTACAATACTCCGTGTCGTATGTGGTAAAGAACCCTGTATTCAGCCTTTTCAACAATGATCATATGCAGGCGATATACCGGGTGTTTTTCAAGTGGTTCACCTCTAAACCTTTTTTTCACATAAAATAACGAAATTTGGAATGTTAGTATATGATATAAATCGGGATTGATTGGCGGTACTCAATTAGGTTCTGTTACTTCCTGTTTTACTGGAAATGGCTGCAAATTTGGGAAAGTATAAACGGGATTAGCCAGTTTAGAACAAACAAAATTTTTTATGAAGAATCTATTTCTCTCAAAATGTCAACAATAAAAAAGTTTATCCTCTTGTAAAGACGGAGGACATACTGTATACAAAACGGCCCCGTAGTAGCATCAGCTATTTTTAAGTAATCAATAATGTTTCTCACATCGGCGATAACCAGATGTCTTGATTCTAAAAATACACTCTCTATTTTGAATAATAACAGCGGCAATAATAATTCCAAAAACGCCATTCAATTTTCCCATTTTAAATCTGGGTATTTCGTGCAATATTGATCAGTCTCGACACTGCGTTTAAACAAGAAGAATCGATAATCTTTAACCTAAATAAGATTGCGGAGAATTCAGATAAATCATATTTTATATAGGGAAAAATTGTATCTGGTAATTACAAATATATTTTCTTAGTATGTAAATACGTCTAAATATTTGTCGTTTTTTTAAATATATTATTTTAACACAGTTATCACAAATGGAAATACTTATTAATTGCAAAAGTTGGACTAATAATATGCTGAATTGTTGCACATCAAGTTCTGTCATGAAAATATATTCTTCAGTAGAATAGGGTTTTAGGGATATTTAAAACCAGCATCTCTTTTCTTATCATGACCCGGATTTTTGGAGTGACGAATGGTCTTTAATTAATATTCGGTGATGGGTAGTTGTATTTTGCTATACCATACAGAAAAAAACAATATTTTTAAACCAAGAATATGCAAATTCTTGAAAATATATGCTTCCATTAAGAATATTTTTTTCTGCTTAAAACTACTTAATGATTTTAAAAAGATTTATTTGTTTTAAAAATATATGCTTTTAATGAAGAATTTCGTTTTTCCTTATAGCTACATATTTTTTCTTGATTTAAATATATTCTAATTTTGAGACAATAATAAAATAATTTTAATACAAGAATATGGCATTTTTAATAAAAAAATATCATTTTATGAAATTTATTTACAACATTAAGCGAAATTTCTGCAATTTACTTCACACAAAACAATGAAATCTTAAAAATATTTCATCCAAGAATATCTAAATTAGATTGTTTTAATTTAAGAATATCATCTTTCTTATATGAAGTAAATATATTTTCATGAACGAAAGCGAAGACTTTCTTCATTTAAAATAAAATTTTAATTTTAAATTAAATATATTCTCTAACAAAAATAATAAATCCAAGAATATCATATTCCTCATAGGGGGATATATTGTTTTCATTATATACAAAGCATACATTATCTTAAAATAAATCAAGTTGCTTTAAAGGAAGAATTTATTTTTCTGTGTGCATAACATGGTATACTGATGCTTCCAAAACTACAGCAGGAACAGGGATAGCAGTATTTGGACCGAAAACTAAATACTCCGAACCAATGAGCACCTACCCCGGCATCCTAAATCTACGCTATCGAAAGATGCGGACAACTTATCTTATATATACTAGATAGGAACTATATCGGAAACATGAAATAGCCATCTTATCCGACAGTCAAGCAGCATTAAAAGCGACCAACTCAGTAACTACCAATTCGAAGTTGGTTAAAGAATGCCTAAAGAAGCTGAACAAATTAGGCAAAGATAATAAAGTCCTCCTACTCTGTGTGCCAGCCCACCAAGGGATAGAAGGCAATGAAAAAGCAAACGATCTAGCTAGAAAAAGAGCGAACACTCTACTAACTGCACCAGAACCGTTCTGCTTCCCAAGTGGAAACCAACTTAAAGCGGAACTGAAGAACCTGGAATACTCCATCCGTAACCTGGAATGGGAATCTTCCAACGGTTTTTGACACTCGAAGAAATTTCTTGCAACTTACGACCGAGAAAAATCGAATATTTTCGTTGATTTAAGTAAGAACAATCTTCGGATTATCACGGATTGAAAAAGGTAATGTCTGCTCAACGAATACCTCAATAGATTGAAGCTAAGAAACAACGGCGAAAGCAGATTTTGTGGAGAAAATGGGGAAACACGAGAACACCTCATCACTGAGTACATCGTGACAACAACCATTCATGCAATGTAGTTTGGTATGGCTGATATTGGAGATGAAGAACTAACCTCTGTTAAACCGTCTCAGATAATGGCTTTTGTCACAGCCTTGAAAAAGCCTCTGATGAGTTAAAACTCAAGAAAGAAGGACGCAATAGATCTCTAAGTTCGCGGTGATTGACCCCCTTTCCAAATATTTGTGTTTGGGAATTATCAAGCATGTCTTATCTGCTTGTCATAATCGATCTCTTTATGTTCAATAATGGCTCTATTAGACTTGGATACATTTTATTTTATTGAGAGCAACGGCCTAGCTACGCTGAAACACCGGTTCTCATTAGAACACCGAAGTTAAGCGACGTAAGGCGATACTGGTGGATGGACGGGTGACCGGTTTGAAACTCTGTATCGTGCTGTTGTTCAAGGGAAAAGTGTAAAAATCTATTGATACACACTGCTCATTCACGCCGGTTCGAGGCCGGATGAGATCGGATATCTCGTGAGTAAGAGTTGATTTAGACACCTCCTTAGTCGGTAGGCCTTTGACCATGATATGGTCGAGGACCGCGGTTCGGATTCCGCGTAAACAAAGTAGGCCCGTCGAGATTAGCCCTGGCAGCAACAAGGACACGTTAACTGAAATCTTTACTACCTAATCTATACTTTTACATATTTTACTGAAATATGAGTTTCAATGAAATGCATCATTATCATTTATTATTTGAGATACAAGTTTTACTGCAACTAAATAAATGCATCAGCGAAGTGCAACTATACTTCACAGTTTCTGAATACACATGCCAAATTTGAACAATGTTGGACAAGCTGATTTTAAGAACTTTAAGAAAAACTGCATCTATTTTTCAATTAAAACTGAACAGGTAACAATGGAAAACCAAAAATGACAACGTACTTTAAGATGTCAGCCTATAATTTTGTTAATGTCAAATTATATTTTCTAAACATTGGGTTTTTGCCTCATTCGAACCAGCTTTAAATTACAAAAATGCATTTCGGGGACACTAACCGTACGTATTATAACGTAGCAGTGGAGACAACACAACCATAAAACATCCCTCTTTAGAACTTGTCATCTGTCATGTTAAGAAATGAAAGTAAAAGCCCCCCTTGAGTTTGTTTGTGCAGTAAATTCATGAAATATCGATCCCTATATTTAATTAATTTTTTTAATATTACAGAAACATTGTTTTAATTGCAACGAAAGAGGTATATTAAAATTAAATTATAGATATTAAAAATTACAATAAAAAATTATAATTTATTGTACAGTTGTTCTTCGCAGGTTTACGTCCTCGGTTGAAAAAAGCCATTGCATTTAAATATGAATACTTATAATAAAACGTAGGTACTTGATAAAATAAGTCCAAATACACCAGTAATTAAGGAGGAAATTGGCAAAATCACACACCGAATATTCACAAAACACAACGAAATAAAAATATTGACATCTTTAAAAAACACATGAACATTTGTTAACTGTTTAATGACTAGCAGTGCCTCTAGTGTTTGTTCGCACAATATAGCTTTCAGTCAGTTTTATAGTCATTGCCATTACAGAAAATGTTCTAAAGGGGGATGTTTTGTGAGCACAACATATTACATTTGACAATGATATAATCATAAGTTGACAACTTATGGCAATTTGACCTTTGACTAGTTTTGCTGATGTTACCTTATGTTTGACTGATCGTTATCTGTTCAGTTTTAACGACTTTAGCTGTAAAATTAATAGAGGGCCAATATTTGGAGAGTTCAAAATTTGCATGGGGGTTTGGATTTCTTGTTTCCAACGAGCTACCCGGTATAGTAGAGATTATGCTAAAGGAAACCACATATATGGTGTAACTACCTATTCAATCCCGGTCTTATAAGGATATATCATTATTTATTTATAGTCGTTGATTATAATTACAATTACAATTTTAGTCGAGGGTATAGACACAGTTTAATTAATGTATAGATATGCACTTTTTACTTAGAGTTGCCCAAGGAAAACAGCCAATATTACTAAGACACCTTATTAGAGATTAACAGAAATATAATTGTTACTCATACACAAAAATATCAACCACAAGTATTTACGATACACTCTGATTAATCGAAAAAAATATCACCCCAGCATAATCACATTTTATTGTGAGTAGGTAACAAATTATTTACTCTATGATAATTACAATGAAAATAAACTTAACATTTTGATATTAAAAGCTAGAATCTGTTTGACAAAAGATGGGGTATAAACAAAACCCTTGTTTATTAGTTAGAAAGAATCAATATATTTCTAAATTTTAGATATAATTTTTTTTAAATTTGTCATGCGCCTGTGATTTATAATCCTAGGAAATCTGACTTAATGATTTTAGAATCTTAATTATATCGAATATTTTTGCGATTTCTCTTAGTTCCTTGGCGAAATATTTTCGTAGGCGTATCATTACAACAAAATAAACACCAAAAACTTACTTTTTATGTTATTCCTCCGTAAAACTAGACCAGATCGTCGCACAAACAAGAACTATCAATCGAAAACAAACGAAAAACTGTCTCGAAATCTTAAAATAACCTTCTGCTGCGAGCTTGGTGAAATAAACTGCTAAACTGCCGTCGTCCTGCTGACCATGAATGATGGCGAGGCAGCAGGTGACGTCACAATTCATGGTAAATATCGTGTCAGACTTAAATTTATGTACGAGGGATCCTCGAGAACTATAGTATTGTATTTCTTTAAATACAGTCGCTTTTAATACATGTTTCTTTTGAAACATATATTTTGACGTATATATATTTTTTATCAAGAAAATTTATTCCGTATCATATTTTGGATTAGCAAAGTAAATGTTTTGATATCCCAGTGGTGTTTTATTTTATTTAAAACTATTATATTATTTATTATTATAAACTATAGTAATAATGAAAATTTTAACCCGTATCTTGTTAAGCCATCCTGTATCTTTTACTGTTTCTGAGATTCCTATGGCGAGATTTGAATTTGATTTGAAATACCCCAAATATTTTGAACTACCGCGACTCTTCATTATTCGTTTTTTCATCAGGTAGGGGGGTGAAGGGTCGCAGTGTTTCCGGCAGAGGACGGCCCCTTGTTATGGAAAAAGGGGGGCGAAATATATCCCTATATATATCCCTAATATCTTACTGGGTTTTCTTAAAAGAGAACACTACTTTTTACTAGTGTTCTCTTTTAGACAGTATTCCTGAAATATTGTTAGATATAAATAATAGATAACCCACTCTACAAAAGTTTGGATGTTACTTATACAGGGTGTTTCAAAAAACATGTGCCATCTCTCGTGGGGAGATTGCTCGCGTAAAAATAAGATTTATTTTTCATATCAACAATCAACATAGGTCCGATTCTACTTCATTTCGTTTAGAGTGTTAAAATCTTTTACTTTTAGTGATTTGAATGCAATTTTGGGGGTAAAAGTTAATATAAGTGTTATATATTTTAATGTTAAACAAGTACTAAATTCATCAGGGACGAGCATATGGGTTATCACTGGAATATTTAAAAAAAAAACATGTGCGGCTCTGACTTTTTTCTTTTGATATCAAAATTGTGTAGGCCGTTTAATGCCAATTAAAAGTTATGTCTTGATATTTTGTCCAATTCGGCCTTCTTGATGAGATAACCGCAATTTTATTAATCACAATAATTAATAAAATGAAAATAAAATTAAAATTAATAAATTATGTATTTTTCCTAATTTATTATTAAATATTATCACTATTAGTTACTATTACTATTAGTCCAACATACAGCAATTTCAAATAAAAAAAATATTGGTATTTAAGATAATTACAAAAAAACTAATTTTAAAAAGTTTTAACATCCTGTAACTCCAAAAACTATGCATTTCCATACCCATGTTTATAGGAACTTTTTTTCATATTTTTTTTATGAGGAATCTTATGAGTACTTATTTAAAACATTCGCAAGTTAATGATATTAAATTTTTTTAAAGGTTGCTATTAGACTTGGATCGAGGCAAATTAATAAAATTGCGTTTATCTCATCAGGGAAGCCGAAATCGACAAACTATCAAGAGACACCTTTTAATCGGCATTAAACTGCTTATATTATTTTGCTAACAAGAGAAAAAAATCAGTGGCGTACATGATTTTTTTAGAAAAATATTCCAGTGATAACCCATATGCACGTCCCTGGTGAATATGTTGACATTTTTTTAACTTTAAAATATGTCCCATTTATAGTAACTTTTAGCATTAAAATTTCATTCGAAACGCTAAAAGTACTTGGAAGAAAATTATAATAGGTAAATCAAAAAAATATTAACATTTTAGCACCCTGTAGCTACGAAACAAAGCAGAATCGGACTATGTTGATATGAAAAATAAGTCTTATTTTTACGTGAGGAATTTCCCCACGAGAGATGGCACATGTTTTGAACACCCTGTATAAGATTTTATTCAAATAAATATAAAGATATTTATAAAATATTAGTATGTAGATAGATAAATGAGTTTTTATTTATTTCAAACAATTATGCTCCTTTGGAGCGTGGAACAATGTCCGGTGTATATTGGCATTTTTCAATTGAACAGAAAATTGATTGATATTTGAGATAATTTTATGTCTTTTTAGCCATCCTTAATAATATTTGTTTATTTATCATGTTCACTTCTTTGTTTTAAGATTCCTATGATTAATCAGCATTAATGAAAAAGTATAACAAGGAATATCTTGTTATTTTTGGCGTTTTAAACTAATACATATCATACTATTTCTATATTTGCTAGAGTACTTTTTGCAGGGTATGCGGAAAAAAACTCTTATAGATATTATACGGAGAGCAGGTGTAGCTGGAAAGAGCTATGGTGTAAGTAATTTTCATACATATTTCTTTTTGACTACTTTATATCTTTGACAAGAAACCATTGACGTAGGTAGTATCGTTTTTATTATTACAGAATTACATTTACTTTAAAATACATGATCTAAATTAAACATTTTCATATACGTAATAAATATAATAAATACTTTCTAAATATAGTAGAGTAATGTATTTGGGACTTAGGTAACAAAATTTTGCTTAAATTACCTGTCAATTACCGGTCAATATTCCATATGCCCACTTAGGTTGGACATTGTTGTTACTGACCGGACATTAACATTGCCGGCGGCACTGAAAAAAGAATAGTGATAAGGTATTTTTTTATTTAATTTGTGCCTACCGGCTGCCATTTCAATCGTCTAGCCGCTACTGGTAATTCACTATCCCGTTGACACGAAATTGCACGAATAAGTTTTGATTGCTTTGGTTTCAACTTTTTTTTTCATAATTATCTGATTTTTTTAAATTTTTTACCAAATTTTTTGAATTTGGTTGCTCTGAATGTCTTGATTATAGAATTGAATGTCAAAAAAGTCATGGTTCAGTGGAAAGTGGTATAACAGAGACATTGAGAAAATGTTAGCTGTTAATGTTGCTGCTGAGGTGCTGAGGGCTGTCTTATTTCAAAACTTTTTGATATTATTAATTACGTTATTGCCCGAGCAATGACTGAGAAAAACCAATAAAAGATGAACATTTTCAATATTGCCCTTAATTTATGGACATTTTCGTAATATCCGGGCTATGGTGATATTATCTTCATATTATCCAATAAAATTGGCCTGTATACGTCATTGGCAGTAAGATACATATACAGGATGAGTCTTAAATAAGTTATAGGTGTAGTATATTTCGACTCTAGGAAACACGTCTATGATTTTTTTTTCCCGATTTTTTTTTTAAATTTGGGACTTTTTGAAAATTTTCTTTGACTTTTTTTTTAAATTTTAAGTTACAAAACATAATATCTTTATAATATGACAACATAGGTAGCAGATTAAATTTACAAGAAGGAAAACCCAGAAAAGATTCAGTGGTTCCCACTTTTTTTTAAATTTTCAAAGTAAAATATCTCGCTTATTTTGGATTGGTTTGGTTTGGTTAGGTTAGGTTAGGAAATATGTTTCTTTTAGCGAGATCTACCAGCCCTGAAAATACTTGCACTTATTTAAGACTCACCCTGTATAGTGATAATAAAACGTTTTATAGGCTGAAGAATTCTTGTTTCTGAAAAAAATTAATAAAATTAAAACATTGTTTGCCAAATACAAATCGATTTCATTTTAAACCTGAGACTAAGTAAAAACTAAGATATTTATTTTGTGAACGCTACTGATCCATCCAAGACGACGGTTTTTCCTAAGCTACCTTATATTTTATATGTTTATCCAATATGAATAAAAGATGAAAGAAGATGCACCGACAATTTCACTACATTTTCTTTCCACTTCTCTTTTCTATATAAATAATAAAAAATCGCATTTATATCAATTTTCATCAACTTAACGTGATGACAAACAATTTTTCAATGTTTTTATTGTATACTTTGTTTTCCGTAAAATGATACATAGATATTTTCTATAGCAAAAAATTAATGGAGATTGGCAAGAAACTTATACTCATACCTCATTAATAACCCAAAATTTCAGAGCAAACAGTTCTAGAAGTGTAACAGCTGTTGTGTGTGTTTTCCCTTAAGGCTCCCCATATGTGGAACATTTCATTCTCAGTAGTTTAATATTGTCTTCAACAGAATCTTAATTACAATATTCCCAGATTATATGAGATGATAAAATACCTACATATAGTTGATTTTCTACATATATTTGATTTTTTAATTCATTGTTGCCAACCGTGGACATATTTGGCGCCGGGCTGGCTAAGTGGAATTTCAGTTTCGCTCTGGGGATTCGGGTGGTAGCTCTGGTGTAAAAAATGTCAGGTTGTCACATTTATTTATTTCCTGACATTGTTATTCGTTTTGATACTTTAATTTGGTATTACTATATTTTGGGTTAAATAAATAGAGTTGTGATACTTTAAGCTTAAAAATGTTTACTAGCAGACCTTGCAGTCGGACATTGTTTCTTTTTAAACCTCTTTTAGTGCGAAGTGTACAAGATAGCTTAATAGCCGTAAAAAACTTATCGCAACTTTATTAGAATATTTTGAACGGGAAAGCGGCAGTAATGGCCCTTTATGTCCTTTAAGTGCTGTTAAGAAGACTTTTGTTGAACTTTTGAATTTTCTTAATGTTTATATATTTACAATTAATTTATTTTTGTTTCCTAGAATATTTTAATTAAAAGAATATGTAAAAGTGGGCAACGCTGTGCCCGTCAAGCTTAATCAGTGAATAGAGTTTATTGATGTGAATATTTTTTTATAATTATTAATCAATATAAATTGATATTTGTTGATCTGTGTTCACTTGATGATAGCTTGGAGATACTGATACCAGTATAAACACACACGCTGTATTGAATGTGTTTATACAGGTTGTCCCAGAAATAAGTGCAAATATTTTAAGGGGTGGCAGATCTCGATAAAAGAAACATTTTCTCATTATCGTCTTTCAAATAAGTCTAAAATAACAGAGTTATTTTAGTTTGAAAATTTCCAAAAAAAATGATTTTTTGCTAAAATTTTGAGAACCACTGGATCTTTATTACAGTTGAGGGTTGGAACCTTTGGTGTTACACAGCAAAATAAAAACACTAAATCACCACAATACACCAAA